GGGAAAGAGAAAAGGAAACCGACACATCATTTTTTTTCCCTGGCTTTGGTTTTTCCTTTTTCGATTTGGTAAAAAAAGAAAAAAATGAAAAAGTTTGAAAATAAAGTTTATTTAAAAATCATTAGAAAAATGTGGGTTACCTTTACTGCTTAATGTAATTTATAACGTTTGATATTCATGACAAAAAACTAAGAGGCTCTTCTAAATATGTGTTGAGCAGCAAAACCCCCTCAGTGAAATTTATGGCAAGAGACAGTATAGAAAACTTAAGATTAGTCTCTAAGGCTGCCAGACACTGAATTAATTTATACTACTAGAAAGAAGCCTCATTAGAACTGGGTTCAGATCATTGGCACAGAGAATTTGTTTTACAGTTGCCTGCTTCAAATCAAGAGACATGATGAAGAACATAATATAAACACACAGAGAAAATATAAACACCCAGAAATAAATAATCATTTTGTCTCTTTCAACCATGCTCTCATCCTTTTGTTCTGCTTTACAGTCTCAAAAGTGTATGATCATGATAATCTGCACATAGTTTGAGAGAAAAAAAACTTAAGAAGGCAAGTTAAATAAACAAATACACAATAACTAATACAATGAAGGTGTTTGATAAACCCATTATTTTCTGGAAAAATTAATCAGAACCTGACATATAGGATATTAATGCATTCTAGAGCTGAGGATACTGTTTTGAACATATTATTCTATGGATTAAAATTTAGTTTAGTTTGAGGCTAGTTGCTTAGAATTGGGAAAAAAATGTCTCTGTGTGTATGAGAATATTCACTATTCCATTACACAAAAGGATTTAAGCTGTTTTTTTTAAAAGATATAAACTTGTCTGATTTAGACAGAGGTTAGGAAGGACCTGCTTCTGTGGTTAACTTGCTACATGATAGTCTACCCTAGGATTTACTGCATTTTCATTATAACATCTGGTACTTGTTACTGAGACAAGTTACTGAAGTAGATGAACCACTGCTTTGAGCTGATAGAAAAATTCCTAAATTGCTATTTCTCCAGTTGCTTAAACGTATATCCCAGTCCACTTTTCTGCCTCTGCCCTCCTTGAAGGGGTACGAGTCTCCATGTATTACGTGACCAAGAAAGAGCAAAGTTATGAAAGAGAACTTACTGCTGCAAGTCTTCTGGTCAGCATTCAAAATGTATCCCTGCTTACATTTGCACATGTAGGAGCCAGGAGTGTTAATACAGAAGTGATCACAGCCATGTTCAGCAATACTGCACATGTGAGGCACTAGAAGAGAAGAGAAAGTCAAAATGTTAGCTGTTGCCATGGTTAGTTTATAGTGATCATAGTTGAAGTGAAAACAGATTGATTGCTTAGGATTATGTTATAGAAGTCTGCAGTAAATTTTAAACAACCAAGACAAAGCCAAATAATAGTAGGGTTGGAAGATGTTGGGAGACCATTTAGTTTGGCTCACGCATCAAGGTAGGATTGTCCCTGACTAAACCAACCCAGTCAATTAACCTGCTCTTTAAAATTTCCAGTGATGGAGATTCCACAACCTCTCTGTTCAGCCTGTTGCAGTGCTTAACCACCTTCATAGTGAGACACTTCTTCCTAGTATCCCAGCTAAATTTCCTCTGGTGCAAGCTGAGACCATTGTTCCTAGTCCTGTTCCCTGAAGCCACAGAGAATAATCTATCTCTGTCATCTTTATAACCACATTTCAGATATTTAAAGACTTATCAAATCAGCCGCACAGTCAACTTTTTTCTCCAGAATAAGTGAAGTGTAAAACCTATATGTGATTGTGTAATTAAACTATAACAATAAGTACTGCATATTTATGTTAGAAAATGTTTTGTAATTAAGATATTTCCTTCCTTGACTGACATTTTCATCATGGTTTTATGTGTGGTATCACACAAGAAAATTGTCTGCCTTAACAGTTAAAATCTTACACAGGATTAATGTGGACAAAACACAATTTATGGAAGAGTTCTTTTTGTAACAAATGAGAGATACCTCAAAATACTGAATACCCTGGGATGCAAAGTGGCATGGAGCCCAGTGAAACAATATAACAAATTGCAATAGAGTTCTTTTAGGAAAAAATACTTTAAATAAATAATTCTAGCGAATATTTAATTATAATATTGTTGAAGAAAGAAAATAACCACATAACAGAAAAATGAAACGGAATCACTACTAAACAAAGTGATAAAAAATTCTATGTATAGCTTGGATTCCATCATACAGAGAGTCAAATAAAGACATGGGGCCCCTGTAGACATGCAGTTAAAAGCACGATGGGGTCTGATGTATGATCCACACAATCACACCTCCTGCCATGCCATATGTGCCTGGCTGGATGCATGATTATGGGATCATGAATCAGATCCCATTACACCTTATTGCTGGTGCAGGGTGAGCCCAGGATTACAACGCCAGGCGTCCGCTGCCTGCCCCAGCAAGAAGTAAGCTCCCACAGCTGGGAACCCTATCAGATCATCTGGGCTCCCAGCTGCAGGTGCACCCCAGGGGTTCCTGTGACAGGGAGACTGCATCAGCTATGATCTCCCAGGTACAGGGGTGCCTGGTACACCCCTACAGCTGGGAGACCATGTCAGCTATGGTCTTACAACCATGGGGGTGCCTGGGGCACCCTTGTGGCTAGGACACTGCTTCAGCTGCAGTCTCCCAGCCACGGGGGTACATGGGACATGGGAAGCTGGGAGCCAGCATCAGCTCAGAGCTCTGAGGCTGAGGGGTGCACATGGGCACCCCAGCTGGGAGCTTTGATCACCTGAGAGGGCTCCCAGCCACAGTTGCCCTGGCCAAACGTTCAGTTAATGGCATGAAGGAAGCAGCAGCAAAGTTAATGTACATATTTTGTGGAATAACTTTATAGTTTATTCCTCTTTTTATCATGCCATTATTTGATTGAACGTGTGGGTGGGTGACCACTTAGGACATGATTAACTGGTTAATTGTGCCTTAAATTTAAAATGTAGATGGAGCCATAGATTAGACCAGGGTGGGCAATTATTTCGGGCAGAGGGCCGCTTACTGACTTTTGGCAAGCCATCGAGGGCTGCATGACAGGCAGCCAGGGGCAGATAAATACTAATTTTCCAAATTTTTAGGGGCCCCGTGGGCCGGACAGAATGACCTGGCAGGCTGCATCCAGCCCGTGGGCCACATTTTGCCTAACCCTGGATTAGACCCAAGCCCATTGCTACACCTATTACTCAGGAGTTGTGTACTGCTACTATTTCCTTCAGACATGCAAAGTACTAGCCTTTCCAGATTAAAAAAAATGTATTATTTTTTGTTATTGTTCAAACTTAAAACAAGCAGTAAAATGCAGAAGAGTGGAAAACAATGCAAAAAAGAGCAGTTAGGGCCAGTTCAATGGTGTTCATTATGATTTGATTGAGCTGTTTTTCAGATCAAATCTTCTTTGGACTTTAAAAATTGCCTCCAATCTTCTCTTTTCATTTGGTCATTGCTTTCATGTCACTTCATAAGGTGAAACCCTTCTCAGTGAATATCTGATTAAGGATAATGTTTTGTGCATTGGACTATTAAGAACTGAAGATATCTTTAGTATACTAGATGAATAAATCTCTAAATTTATGGAAAGACAAGGTTCTTTGGATAAATCTCTCTTTTATTGGACTAACTCAGATAGCTGGAAAAATTCTTCTTTGCAAGCTTTCAGGTATAAATATACCCGCCATTTTTTATATCCAAAAGCCTGCAAAAAAGAATGTTTCCAACTATTTGAGTTGGTCTAATAAAAGATATCAGATTTACCCAAAGAACCTTGTCTGCCTATGTCCTTAGACCAACACAGCTACAACCTATGCCCCTGTAAACTTGTGGAATATATTTAACTTCCATGTTTTTCAAATAGCCACAACGGAAGTCAGAAAAATAGCTTAGCATTTGGTGTGTGTGGTACTTTTAATAAAACAATATGGTTTTGAGAAAGAATATGCTACGTATTGTCTTTGGAAATATTCCCAGGGTTATACATTCATAACTAATGTGCAAACCACTACAATTCCCAACTCCCTTATTAAAATTTTTGGATCTCTCATCATCTAGTATACCATTTTTTCAAGTACTTTTTATTTATTTATGTGACTAAGATCTGCTCTAACTCTTTGCCTTTTTCTTTTGCATCACTGCTCTTCTGAAATTGAAGCTTAAGACTGCCAATGTTTTTTTTTTCCAAACACAAGTCTCCTGCTGGATGTATGTTACTAGCCATGATGATCTGATATTAGCTCATCATGTCAAAAAGAGCACTTTTAACTATGCCAGTTGTCAGGTAGAAAACAAAGTCATTTGACACATCTGGCATTAGACAGTCTTACTATTTAAAAGAGAGGAAATCTAGCACAAGATTTTGTTTATAGACTATTACATCCAAAACCCAAATAAAACATTAAAAAGAAAAACATTCAAGCTACTAAATCAAACACTCAGAAATTAGGAAATTGTAGAATTAAGGATGCCTATGTAGTCTTAATTTGAGCCCATGCATTTTGATACTCTTTGATTATATGATAATATACTTTTTTCCCCATAGGGCCCTGCCTCATTTTATGCACATCAATGTGGGCAATGGCAACTGAGTGGGAGCCAGCTGGGCTACAATGTAACCCTTTGTAAACCACCAGTTTGATAAAAGTCTGGGTATTTATAATATCCATTCTCTTACAGCTGACCAGCTCACATGGTGTTATAAATAGAGAGCTTCCTTCCAGTATTAGTTTAGTAGCCTCTGGAAGTCATAAGGAATTTCTTAATTAAGCTGCTTTGTGTCCAACTCACTTGTCTGCTTCTATTAAGATGTGCCAGGATGGACATATGTACACGTGTGCTTTAGCCTATTTTACTGCACATTAAGCATCACATAAAAAGTGTGATTTTGCTAATGTACACACAGTAAAATAGGGGGAGAGACAGTGAGAAGGAGGAGAGACAAGTGGCAGCTGGGGGGGAGGAGGTGCAATTTAACCCCATTGCGGGCTGCATGTAGCTACACAATCATGGCTATGACATCATCCCCGTATTGGACCCTTTTGGCAGTTTTAGCCTCAGTCTCTCTCTGCTTCAGTCCCTCTAGCTTTAAATGGGGATAACACCACCAAAGGTATTGTAAAGACACTTTATTTTGCTCCTGTCTGCTTCATAGAGGCTCCTATCCCCCTACAGCTGTATTCTTGACTGGCACCAAGTCTTCCCCTGTCTGCTTCTATCTAACTCCACTCCTTCTAGCTCCTGTTCCTCTACCCCCATTTCCCTCCACCTTATTTCTGATGTATCTATGCTCCAGTAAGGTTACTTGCCTGGGCAAGGAGGGACTGAGGTATTAGAAGCAGCATAGCTGCATTAGTGTAACACTACTCAGGTTACGTGTACTACTTCTGTGGCACAAATTAGCCTTGGGGAGAGTGAACAGTAATTCTGACTGTACTGCTTCTGTTCACAGCTTGTACAGGTATCTCTGCACAGTACTCTATGGACATAGATTTAATAGATTTTAGGGTCGGAAGGGACCTATTAGATCATCGAGTCTGACCCCCTGCCCTGGGCAGGAAAGAGTGCTGGGGTCAGATGACCCCAGCCAGGTGTTTGTCCAATCTCTCTTGGAAGCATATTCCATATTTTGGCAACCGTCACTGTAAAGAATTTTTTCCTGATGTCCAATCTAAATTTGCTGTCCTATGGCCATTGTTTCTAGTTACCCGGTGGGTGCCCTGGTCAACATTGTATCCCCTATTTCATTCTGTTCCCTGCCCCCCCTCTGATGAGTTTGTAGACAGCCACAAGATCACCTCTCAGCCTTCTCTTGTGGAGGCTGAAGAGGTTCAGATCCCTCAATCAGTCCTCATAGGGTTTTTTTCTGTAAGCCTTTAACCAGGTGGGTGGGCCTCTTCTGAACCCTTTCCAAGTTATCTACATACATCCCTGGGAGTCTTAAGTTCAGCACCACAGCATCCCCTGGCAACCAGGAGCCATCATTGTAGGCAACGTCTGACTTCCTACCTATAGTCTTGGTATGAAGCATTCTCAGACAGACAGAATCTTATGGGAATTTAGCTTCTAAATTTTAGCAGATCTCTACTGAGTCTGTATGAACAGAATTTGTTTTAGAGTTTTATAATTTGGTCATATTTGGGCAGTTTTTCAGGTACCCTGAAAGAAACAAGTGCCCAACTTGGGAAATCTACAGCCTGGTGGCCTGATATATTATTTTGAACTATTTGGAGGTGGAGTATATGTATTTAAAAAAAGTGATGTACTGCTTTATGTTCATTCTATTAAAATGTATTATTTACTGCATTTTTATTAAATAAATTACTACATTTTTAAATACAACTTACTCTTCTGGCTGGTAATAATAAGATTTTGATAATATTTTTCTTTCAGTATCTAATGAATTCCACTGCTGATAGGTTACAATGTCACAGCTCCCACTGGGGCCTTGCTACACTGTGGATCAGGAAACTGCAGCAGCAATACAAACTTCCCTTCAACGTCATAATAACGTGCCTCAACCCTATTCTTGTAGAATAGGGAAAGGAGGGCATTTTAAAATCCCTTCCCATCCCTTCCTTTATTCCTTCACCTGCACTGAGAAAGCCATTTAGAGTGCCAGTTGTGAGGATGCTAATTCATGTAGTGTAGATGTATGTCCACTTGGACCTAAGTTTCATATAATTTTGAACAAGTTGATTTCTATTAAGAGCTGTTTCCAGGCATCAATAAAAAGTAAAAGGGAAAAACCCACTGACCATGAGCAATGGAAGAGGCTGAATCTCTGAAGTACAACAGGATTTTTCAAAGATTATCTAAGTAAATGAACACCTGATAGGGAATACTTTGTCTAATGAAGAGCAGCATACACCAGCAAAAACTATTTTTCCACTTTATTGCATGAATGAGGAACACTCAAGTAATGGCCTTTCATCATTTTTTAAATCTGAAAAGGACTTCAGATGAAACAAAAGTATTACTTCATCTCTATGTCCTTGAACCCAGCCAATGCCTAAGGACCTTGGGAAGGGTAGTATATACAGGGCCATGAACTCCATATTTTACTGATAGCCAAGAGACATTACTAATGAACAAACATTAAATTAATTAAAAGATTATATTACTTATCTGACATTTAAAATAGCAAAGGATTGGAGGCTGTGCTAAAGTAATATTAAGCAATACATGATAAAAGTATTGATTATTTCTACCATTGCATATTATCACTAGGAATTAAATTATTTTTATGGGGTTCAAAAACAGGATTGGCTCCTTTTCTACGTATACTATATATCTATGCATGCTATTTTGAATGTCCTTTGGCTAAACTCCTTTACTGATATATACACTTCAAATGAATTAGATGCACATATTTTACTGATTTAGTTAGTCCTCTGCTTAGCTTTTATTTTTCACCATAAAAGCTAAGTAATCTCCTTTGATGTTTCTGTTGTTTGTTTTTTTCTCTACCTCCTATGCTTTCAAATCCATAAATAGTTTCCTTACCACAAAGCTTGTTCTGGAACACAGAGGTCAGTGTTTCAATCTGACTGAAATTAGCCACCAAAAACACATGTTCTTCATGAGGTTCACTCCCAATGGACTTCAGTGTGTTCATATCCACTCTTCCTACTCCAATGGCAAAAATTAGGATGCCTGAGTTGCGGGCTTTAGCTGCAACCTCTCCCACCGGATCCTGCGGTCGTCCATCTGTCACTATCATGATTATTCTGGGCACGTTCTGGCTCAGAGGACGAGCTCCTTCTGATTCTGAAAATGCAATGTTCATTGCATACTGAATGGCCAGTCCAGTCATGGTGCCAGTGGCCAGATGCATCATTCTTTTTACTGCTCTCTCCACATCCTGTCTCTTCCCGAATGTTTTCAGTGAAAACTCGTGTTTGACTGTACTGCCATACTGAATAAGGCCTACTCTGGTGACATCAGGACTGATGTCCAGGAACTGAAGGATGGTTAAAAGGAACTCCTTCACTTTCTCAAAGTCGTAAGGGCGTACACTGCGAGAACTGTCAATGATGAAGACAAGGTCCAGGTGTTTGTTACTGCAAGTATTTTCTGGAAGGGAAAAGAAAACAGACTATTTGACAGGAATCCAAAATGCAGAGACCAGGACAGACCCAAAGATGCAACTGTGCTGGCAACACAGAATGCTACCCTCTACATGGGGCAGGGGAAAAAAACAGTACTACAACTAATACTAATTTTCTACAATTTAGCTGCTGGACTCATCAGTGCAAAAGGTGATCTATCAAGTACAATTTTCAGTACAGAGACGTCTTGTAGTAATATTCTGGTCATTTCCTTTCCTCGCTCCATTAATCTTTCCTTCTCTTCTGTATCCTAGCTAATACCTCTGTCTTCTTCCATGACTTTCCTTCTCTTGCCTTTCATCCTCATCTCATCCTTTTCTTCCTTCTTCACCATATTTTCTTCACTGCTTTCCCAAATTTTTTGAATTGTTTAGTTCCTCCCCCATCCAAAGTCACTCTTTTCTCTCTCATCTTCTACTTTCCCAAATCCTAGCTCCTTACTCCTTAAGGATGACTAATATTTGAATTTTTTCTTACTTCCATTATTTTTCTGTACTTTTCAGTAGTATAAGGAGAGAAAGAGGAAGCTGGCATTAGTAGGAGGCAATCTGTAACTATTCACTGTGGTTTAGGGTGACCATCATAGAAGACAGTCCGGTTGTCCTTTGTTCTCCATTGATAAGAAATCCGATGCCTTTATGTCCTCTATTTTTCTCTTGAAGAGAAAAATATATATCCAGTGGGCTCAAGAGGAAAATAGAGGACGTAAAGGCATTGGATTTCATATCAATAGAGGACAGAGTAGCAGAAAACTGGAATGTCCTCTATGATGGCCACCCTCTACTGTGGTTCCTTTTTTGTCTACAAGAGCTCCAAACAGTAGATCCCAATTCCTAACTGAAGTTTCCTTTCTCCCTCTACACCCAAGATGCAGTGAAAGAAACTTCTTTACCCTAGAACTTTCTTGTAGTGCCTCACTGCACAGAGGAGAAGACAGCATGCTGTTTTCTTCCTCTCTAAATTTCCAAATGCAGGAGAGAAGATTAAAGCCCTGGATGGTAATTGTCCTTCTCCTCTCAGGTTCTAAATTACTGTTGCCTATGAAATCTTGTGTCTCTCTGAATTAGTTAGTCTCTAAGGTCCTACCCTGCATTGCATTCTGTCTGACTTCAACTAACTATGTCTCTCTACTGAGGAATTATTAAAGGACTTTTATCTGTGCTTTGTGGGTCAGCAGAACATGGATCCAAGCAATCTCAGGTATCAGGCTACCAAACATATAGCCCAGTCCAGCCCTGGCAACATTCATTATAATTTTTTAACAGTGCAGAAAATCTGTACAGTTAAAACAAACTGTGTTACACACCTGTAATGCAACTGCAGTACAAACCTACATTAAAAACTGCCATTGCTTTAACAACTTTTACATAGTTTAAGTACTTAAGCTAGCACTATTTTTTGTTGCTAGTGATAGTTGGTTAAATAAGTTTGGAGCACACAAAAATTAACTAAAGATATGATTTCATGCATATTTCAGCAGGTGCATCTTTGACTGTTCTAGGTACAATATTACATACAAAAATAGATTAAATGAATGTTTAGGATGTAAAGTTAAGCATTCAAAAATAAGAAATACCAGGATTAGGGTTACATGGGCAACCTTGTATGCATGCATTATAGGACAGTCCATGGCACATTTGTGGTACAAGCTATGATACTGTTTTTTTTCTTTTTGATCGATGAACAATGATCAAACTGTGACCTTATTTTACTACACACTATTGTAAACCTGCTGTGAAGGGCATTCTTTGGCACTCATTACAAAACATTAGTGAATCTTTATACAATGTCCCTGTGAAGTGATCTGGTATTATTATTCCTATTTACAGATGGAGAACTAAGGCACATACGCTGAGATCAAGTGTCTTCTAATTTTGGGTGTCTAATTGGTGATGGAAAGAGCCTGATTTTTCAGAGAACTTGGTGTTCTGTAGCACTTTTCATGTTCAAAGCACAGCTCTTAGTGACATCAACTGCAGCTGTGAACACTTAGCACTTCTGAAAAATCAAATCCCAGGCCTTGCAAGCCTAGTACCCAGAAAATAAGCAATACACAACAAAAGACCAACCAAGAAAAAATTGGTGCCCAGCATCTTACAGGAACTCTGTGGCAGAGGAGAAAAATTGTGAAGATCCAATTTCTCAAGATGGCACTGAGGTTTTTTTAACCAGAAAACCATCTTCTCTCTTCCTGAAATCCCTTTTTTGTTCATTGCATACTGCACACCACAATTACCTTCTGTAACAAATGAGGCAGGGGTATTGTGCGTGTCTATACAGCAAAATGAAGGCATGATTACAGCACAGATAAGCACACTGGCTATCATGAGTAACAACAGAAGCACAGATGGGTGGCTTCTGTTTAAGTACATGTTAGCAACTGGCTGACAAGCCCACTGGATATACACTCTGGCTGCTTGCCTTTGCTTCCTGGTTGTAACTGCTAGTATTCATGCTGGAAAGATTAAGGGTGCTGACAGACATGCAGCTCCCTGGTCTAACTCATGATGCTTCACAGAAAGCATCGTGAGTTAGACCAACGCTACTGATCCAACAGATGTCTGCTGTGTGATTCAGTTCCCCTTTGGAGTGATCGGGGGAGAGAGGCTGCTGTCTGCAGCCTCTGCCTCCTAGCCCCAGCCCCTCTTCAAGTTCCCATGCTCTCTCAGGATGGAAGGGGGGCAGTGTTGTCAGGTGCACAATAATTATCGTATAATTTCAATGACTTATACAATAATTTCAACCTTTGTATGATGTATGATAGATAATACTAAGTGTTCAAAATGTATGATATTTTTTGTGTAATTAAATTTGAGAAAAAAAACAAACATGTAAGTCACTCCAGCAACAATCAGAGCTGAGCTAGTTTACTTGATTATGTGATCACCTCACAGTGTTAAAGCATTGCTATCATAGATATCCCATAATATACTGTGGGATAAGTTATGTCACCTTTGCCTGTAATTAAGCATGCAAGCCAGACAGACAGTTTTCACTCTGTTCAATGGACAGCAAAGATACCTGCAGGCATACTGATAAAATAAAGACATGCTTCCACTTTGATGACCCAGTTCTCACTCACATTGAATTGGAATTTGACAGGGACTAAAGTGAGGGTGAGTAATATTTGCCATTTAACTGGAGACTTACAGTGAACAATATAAAGTAACTGCATAATGATCACATAGCTAAATCTCATTGTGTAATAATTCTAAGAGCTTTATTTTAAATGCTATATACAATCTTAAATCAATAGAAAGTCAAAGGGGTTTTGTGCTTGCCTCGTTTGTAAATTCTAGGCATGTACTTAATACAGAAAGCTGCAAATAAAGTTTAGAAGATTTACAATACACAGACCTGAACCACAAAACAAAGAGAAAAGAATAATCATAGTAATAAATTCAATTTAACCAGTCAGAGAAAGAGTTAAACTTAAAGAAAGAATTAAATGCACTTCAGAGAGAGAGGACTCCGAGGATGAGATGGAACTCACCTCACACAGAGAGGTAAGGCCCTGTTCTCAGCCAGGATGGCTGATCTGCTAGACAGGGCTTTAAACTGACTTTGCTGGGGGACAGGGAAACTCCAAGTGGAGCATGCCCAGGGAATGGCACACAGTCCTCTCAGAGCGTCGCAGGAAATCGAGGGTGTCAGTTGGGGGCCTCAGCTGCCAGTACACCAATGCCAGGAGCATGGGGAACAAGCAGCAGGAGCTAGACCTCCTGCTCTGTATTGAGCAATATGATCTGGTAGGGATCACGGAGGGACTCCTCGCATGATTGAAGTGTAGCTGTAGAGGGCTACATCCTGCACAAAATGGACAGAGTAGGGAGAAAAGGTGGAGGGGTAGCTGTCTACGTGAGAGAGCAGTACACCTTTCTGGAGGCTGGTATTGGTTCCAAAGATAAGCAGCTTGAAGCCCTCTGGGTCAAGCTATGGGGGGGAAGGGCGAGGTGAGAGAAACCTAACTGCAGGCTTTTCCTCTTGGTTTGGTGGCCTGTAGTAAGAGCTGGATCTGGAGTTCTCTCAAAAACTGACAGAGGCCGTGCATGCAAGGCATTTGGTTGTCATGGGTGACTTCAATTACCCAGACATAGATTGGGAGGAACACTTGGCTAAGTCAGATCATTCATGCGGTTCCCTGACTGTCGTCAAGGAGCTCTTCCTGGCCCAGGAAGTGCAAGGGCCAACCAGAGGTAACACTCTCCTAGACTTGGTCTTGGCCAAGGGAGATGATCTAGTGTGTGGCTTGAACATTGAGGGTAACCTGGGTGACAGCGACCATGAAATTATCAGGTTCACCGTCCACCACAAGGTTGACAAATCAACTAGCAGGATTGAAGTCCTGGACTTCAAAAATGCTGACTTCAACAGGCTCAGAGCATTAGTAGAGGAGGCGATGTGAGATCAGGAAGACAAGGCAAATGGGGTGCACGAAGAGTGGTCATTGTTCAAGGATACAATCCTCAAAGCACAAAAGAAAACCATCCCTGCAAAGAGGAAAGGCAGCAGAAGGGCTGGTAAGCCCTCCTGGCTTAATAGGGGCATTGCAGTCCTCTTAAAAAAGAAAAAAAAGAGATGTACACCCAGTGGAAGCTAGGGATGGTCCTCAAGGAGGACTATACAACGGTGGGGGAAATGATCAGGAAAGCTAAGGCAGCAACGGAGTCTAGGTTAGCTACAGGAGTCAAGGACAATAAGAAGTCCTTCTTTAAGTATTTTGGCAGTAGAAGGAAAACAAATGGAAGTGTGGGACCCCTGCTTAACACCTTGGGACACCTGGTAACTGACATTCAGGGCAAAACTGAACTCCTGAATGCCCACTTCACTTCGGTATTTCACCAAACCAAAGGGAAAGTCAAGTGAGATAAGGCTCACAGGGGACATGCCGGGACTGAGCCTCCCCACTGTGGATGCTGAGCGGGGGCAATACCAATTAGAAAAGCGGACTGGATGGACTTCATC